CAGGAGTTTGGTGCCAGTATCTTACCCCATCATCCTACATCGGACACACCGGAAGCCTGAAGTGAGGTTGGAAAGCTTGCAAGTTCATCTGCCAATTTGCCAGATGATAGACCTTCACATCAACAGGGAGCGCCCCAGGAAGCCTGACCAATAAAATAAAATACAATACAATACATACTACAAATTTTGAGGAGTGGTTTTGCCTGTGGCTTACCTCAGAGCTGTCCAGCTGTCCTCTGTGGAGCACCCAGCTTCATCCACAAGATGACACCTCAACATTCTAATTTATTCGAGAACTCTGCTGTGTTCCAGCTCCATCCAGCATTCTATTCTATTCTGTTCCATTCTCAAGGGCAGATAATGTCTCCTTTTATGAATTCACTATTTTCTAGTCCAGCGTTCATCATGTTTTCCATGGCACAGTTTTCACAAAACTCCACACATTATGACCCATTAGCAGTAATGATACAACACTGTATATTAAAAAAAATAATTTTGTCTATTGCTTCGCATATATTTTAAATCATACATGCAACAAGTCACAACAAAAGTTTAAGCTGTTGCAAGTAACTCCACAAATGATCATTTTAACATTGTTAAGCTGTCTATGTTTGCAAATTCATATTCAAACGCTAATATGTTGCATCCCGTGTACTGTGGTAATTATAGCCACACCCAAATCTCACCTGCACCTGCGTTTGGGAATTAGGCAATTGATGGATTTAAGACCTTAAAACTGTTCTGAACTGAATTATTTGGTGGATAATAGTTTAGACAAATAATAATAAATCTTTCTACAAATTATTTTTTGTTTGGGTGGCACATTTCACTGCTCTGATTGGAAGAAAAGATTACACAATTTACATTTCACTGCTATGACTTTTTTCGACATGTCGGCTGTATATTTTGGCTGTGCTGTTGTCCCTCCCCAGACAATCTGCACTGCCCATCGAGGTGCACCGGATACTCTAATCCAGTGGTCCCCAACCTTTTTTGCACCACGGACCGGTTTCATGTAAGACAATATTTTCACGGACCGGCCTTCAAGGTGTGGCGGAAAAACACGACGAAATAAAGTGATACGATCGGCATGAAAACAAATATAAAATGCATAAATAAATACAACTCACAATAACGCTGAATCAGTGGCAGCCCTGAGCTTGTTTCTCTGCAACGAGACGGTCCCATCTGGGGGTAACGGGAGACGATGACACCCGAAGTCTGTTCCTGATGTCCAGTCTACTCCGTCATTTTGTTTTGATTGCCGTCACTGCAGAACATCCCGCTTCACAAAGAGGATGTTGTTCATGGAAGCAGGGTTTTCAGTGCTTTAGTGGCGATCTCAGGATATTCAGCCTTGATTTTAATCCAAAACACCAGCAGAGTTGTTGTCTCAAACATACCTCCAGCAGCTGATCTTCCTCTGTCGCCACATATACAGATGAGCGGGTTTGGCGCAGAATTACTCCTGATGTTTAATCAGACTCCTGGTGTTGTCTGTTAAATGAAGCTTTCATTTTCTTGGAAGTTGTAGCTCTTCTTCTGTCTCCTTAGTGGCCTTTCCCTCTTTGCAAAGAAGCTCTCCAACAGTTATTTACTCATTTTCGCTAGTTTGCGGGCTTCATTTTTGAGGTAACGTATCACGTGACCGAGACAAGCGTCTCGGTCAAGAGGCACAGGCGGATGAAATTGCGAGAGTATCCGGTCATTTTTCAAAATAAAACTTTTTTCAGACTCTGATAATCAATAAAACGGAAATAATATATTTATTCTTCCTGTGCGGCCCGGTGGTTGGGAACCACTGCTCTAAACTAAAGCTAACCTCAGTTACTATAACCAATGATATAATTATCAGTGAGGTTATGTAGGCCATACGATTAACATGCAGTAGATTTAGACTAAATCATCATGATGGGCCTTAATGTTGCCACCTGTCCCGTAAAATGCATTTATCAGCTGTTTTTGATTTATATTACATTCTGCTGTCCCCTTGGCCAGGACCATATATTTTTTCCTTTCTATAATTTCACTTGAGACTGAGAAAACACTCAGTACTTTTCATTTATTGAAGTCACAGGAGTATACAAAAATATAATTGACCATGTGGTTATTTCATAATAAGGTTATTTATTTCTCAAAATGACTTTGATTTATTTAATCAGCTATATCAGACAGATGGTAGTCCACCCAGTCCCTTTTACCTGTTGAAATCATTTTAAAACGGGCAATACAAACCGAAAAATGAGAAATCATTATAAATACAGTCTGGTTTCCAAATATAAACAAGATTATTAGACATACCAAGCACATATTATCAGAAACTAACATTATTCTTTTGCCTAGAATACAGTATGTAAATCCCATACTAATGGACACAGTTGTAATCAGCATAGACGCATACAAGCATACACTGTACATAAGAGGTTACAAGTAACACTTCTCAAAGCCATGTCTTTGACTTTACCACGCTCTCCTTCACATTTGTAGTTTTCCAACCAGGAGTCCAGGTGCCAGGTGCGTGTCCCTCTCAGAAGCTCTATAACCCAGCCTGGAACAACGGGGGCTTCTGTAGTGAGTTCATAATATCAATAAAGAAATGTCTTAAGTGATTGATTAGTTATCCGCTTTTCCGTATTCAAAGGAGTAGTTGTTGTCGTTAGCCGAAGCATCGAGCTCAGGATGTATCCAATTGATGCGTTGATTCGTTTTCTTCTTCAGCTGTGTCTTTATTGGATCACAAACCAACCACAACTGCATACCGCCACCTACTGTATGGGAGGGTGTATGTGGTGATATGCTTTATAGCACCGTGTCATCACACTTCTTGGTTTTAATTTGACTGCCATGGAAGGAATCGAGACACACAGAGGATGGACACGACATCATGATCTTTAGTGCAATCCATTACTTTTCAAAACTGGAAATATGCCCTCAGGAGAGTGAAGATCTCCACAGGGTGTGTTTGTAACGATCGCTGCTATTGTGCGATTGAAGGAATGCAACCAGTACTTTGATGCAATGTTATACACATAGAGGCAGTATTAAACAGGTAACAAAAGGTGTTTTGAGGAAAAGTCAGTCACACAGCATCTTTTTGTTTTAGTGCTCAATAGCATCTCAAAATTCCCAAAGCTCTTCACAGGTCACAAATGTGCTCCTTTAAATTAAATAACAGCAGCTTGTAGAGCATGACATAGGCCCCTCCTTCTCTGACGACATATGGGATAACATTCACAAGTAGGCCCACTCGTCTTTTATATGTGCCCGTCACTATTGAATTCAATTTATAATAGTTTATAGACGCCATATTTTTAAAGAGATGTATCTGAAATGTATTGGCTGTGTCCCAGCTGAGAAAAAAATCTGCCGAGATGTATTTCAAACACTCTCTTGCTCTGGCTTTTGCCACCCTTAGCTAGTCGTGCAGTTTAGCTGAGATGTAAATAAACTGTCGCAACATGTTCCTGCACTTTTGCACCTGCTCTTTTGAAGCAGATGTGGGGTTTTTTTTTTCCATGATGAGCTGGCTCTCAAAGATCCAGACTGGTCCACCGGTTTCATGCGTTTATACAAGCTGAATGCTTATGAACCACATTGCAAAAGGTTTTGTAGATCTGACCTTGAGTGTCTTTAGTTGAAGTCGGATTAAAGTGTTTCGTAGCAGTGTTTCGTAGCAGGCTGATAGTGGTTCAGGACCTATTCACGCTCTCTGCCCCAGTTTCAAATCCCTCCATCTTTTACAGATTGGTCAATACATTTTCCCTGTTGTGCCGTGCCCCTACTCATGCCAGGTTGTAGTCACAAGTCGGCTTGTTTTGTCATTTTTCCTCACAGGGCTGGTATCTTCCTAGTTTATTGGAATCTCAGTTGTCCTGTGTCTTGTGTTGAAAAATGCAGTTTCTCTTTTTCTGTTTTTAATCTGGCTTTTTCACTGTGGTTAGCATTTCATTATGACACTATTAGGTAATGCATGTAAACGCAATGCCTATATGTGCACATTTTGTGTATCTGACTTACTGTTGTGTCGCACAGATTAAATCTTCATCTCAATTATTAAATGGAGTTGTAACATATGTCATTTCTATTTGTTTTTCTCAATTTTTCTTCATATTGCGGCTTTTGTACTGACAGACTCCCAGGGAGAGCTGCACATCATGCTATTGTAATGCTGAATGTCCCTTTGTCCATGCAGTTGGCTGTTCCTCGCAGGAGAAAGGCCAAATCTCAGTGGGAACCCCCTTTATGTTCAGTTCATTGTTCCTTTTGTGATACCATAGTGTTGTGACACTGTAGACACTGTGATGGGCAAATAGCATGTAAATATGTTGCATTTAATCTGATATTGTTCTTAACATTTTGACTCTTACCACTTGACCAGGTTGTAAATATATGAGAATTGTATATCTTAAAATATAATCTCCCAATTTGGACCATGAACACTAGTAGGTAAGGTGTAATCTCAGCCTAAGAGCTTCACAGACCACCAGCTCCCGGGTCTGGAACTTACGGAAACATATCACAGAAGACCTGGGCCTTTCTCTGGGGCCTGGTCGAGTGGCCAGGGCACAGTGACAGCGGTCAAGCTCCTGGCTGATGTGAGAGTTTGTTCGCCCAAGTCCACAATCAGGAGCTGTGAGAAGAATGTAGCGGGGCAAGAACGCCTCAATGTACTCTGGAAGGCTTTTGATGCGTTAATTGTTTCTGCAACTCTTCCCTTCCAGGTCAGTGATTTTTAGCCCTTAGCTTAGCCTTGTCTTCGGTCAGCATAGCTAATGCTTTTTCAAGGGTTTGCGCGCTCTGGCGGGTCATGTCGGGGTGCGATTCCAGAGATGAGATTGATTGTTGATGGTCCATTATGGTGGTCTGAGTTTTGTTGCCTCAAGCTTTGAGATGTAAATGCTGCCTGCTGTTTCGTCCTTCTTTTGCTCTGCTTTCCTTAACTTGGAAGTCATTTTTCTGTGTTTTTTTCAGTTATAACAAGT